TAGAAATCCTGCTACGCAATTACAAGTTAGCTATGTGTATATCAAACAGATATTACTCCTTGAGCAGTAAATACATGATCCAGATGTTTTAAATAATGTATTTCACATTTCTTGCATCTTAAGTTTCTCCATCCCTTTAAGCATCTGAACTTTTAAATATAAATAGCAAACAAGCTATACTTTTTTCCTGATTTTCTGAAGTTATCTTTGTTGAAGGCAATAGTTTGTTAAATGCTAGGATATTTATGAATGGCATTCTAAATCACACCATATTATTTGTTGCATTCCTCTGCCAACAGTTTTATGTCAATAATCTTTTATATATATATAAAAGCCTAAGCAACCTTTACAACAAAATGACTGGTTGCTATGACGTGCACTAACCACCAAGGGCAAACACTCAATGCAGTTGCCCCCAACCTGCAGGCCCCAATCGCCAATGGGGGCTGCTGACCAACCTGTCGATTCTTCCCCCAGCCAGCAGGCCCTGATAGCTCAGTCGGGGCTGGGTCCTGAGCTGGGACGGGGACCTGGGTGAGGGTGGTAGTGGATACAGGCAAGGGAAGGAGGTGGGCAAGCAGGGAACCTGATCAGCCCTGATTGCTGGCCAGGCCTAGGGACCCCACCCATGCAGATTTCATGCTCCAGGCCTCTAGTCTATAAAAAAAAAGAATTTACTCTTTCAATTTTGTTCATGGTTATATGGTTCCCAGAATTTCAAGAATCAAACTGGTTTTACTAAATAAAAACCAAAACAGCCTGACCAGCGTGACTCAGTGGTTGAGCGTTGACCTATGAACCAGGTCACGGTTTGATTCCAATTCCCGGTCAGGGCACATGCCCGAGTTGTGGGCTCCATCCCGTGTGGGGCATGCAGGAGGCAGCCAATAAAGATTCTCTCTCATCATTGATGTTTCTCTCTCTCCCCCTTACTCTCTAAAATAAAAATATATACTTAAAAAAAAACACACAAAATGTTAAAACTAATTGCATTATCCCCCCTTTTATACAAAATCACCCTGATGCTTCCAAATGTACATTTTTTTCAGGTATACAACTTTAGTTTTCACACATCTTTAAAAAAACTTACTGCTTCTTGGTTGAGTGCCATGCACTTAACTGTTTCTTGTCATCTATGAACACATACTACACCAAGTTGTGCCATAACCATGTCTTTACCTTCGGGCTTTGCTGTGTAAAGCGATCTACCCATTCACCATACAGCCCCCACTGATTACTAGATATTTCACGACTTCTGTGTCTTCCATCAGTGTACTTCCCCCTGCTGCCTGACATCCCCTGCCCCTTACTTAGCTGTATCTAACCTGGCCTGGGCTTGGAAGCCTGATTTCACCAGTTGTTATAATAACAGTTGTATCAGTAAGGTTCTTCATGAGATTTACAGGACCCTCCTAGGAGGAAAAGACAACAGCTTTTGTAGCATATCTGTGGCATACCTTGCTTCTTAGTGTATGATCCTAAATTATGTTTTAATTAGTTTTCATTTTCAGCACTTCCTACAATTTCCTAACATTCATTGTTCAAAAGTATTTAAGTTAACAAGTATCTCTAAATTACATTTTAATTTACATAAATGTCTATAGCAATGGTTACAAATTAACATGAAATCTGAACTGGTGCTCTCTGGCAGTCTGTTCAGAGAAATGGGGACCAGATCTTAATATCAGAAATTATGAAGAGTTGCCAATATGTTTTCTAGTGAGAAGCATTTTCTTTCCAGTGTTCATTGTGATAAGAAGGTTGGTAGTTCAAAGAATTTATTGCTGCTTTACAGTATACATTATTAAATGAAGAAACATGTTAAACTCAAGGGAATTTTTATAGGTTACTTGCAATTGTTATTGCAGGCAACAACTTGTACATGATTTTATTTCCAAATCCACAAAAAACAAAATTTATACAAATCAGCACTGTAAAAATGTCAATTACAGCCCCAGAGGCTTTGCTGGCAGAATAATAGTCTAAATCCTAGGATATGGGAAACAGGATTTTTTTTCTGAAGTCATCGTTTTTTTTCCATTTTTTTTTTTTTTTACAAAAAAAATTTACAAGTGAAATGTTACTACAAAACTTTTTATAAGGAATTTTTTCAAAACATTTACATTTTACCATCAACTATTTCTGTTTAAAATCATTATGTAGATTTAATACCCTATGCTGCACATCAATTTATGTGGGATGACAACTTAGTGACATGCATAAAAAAAATAAAATAAAAAAAAAACACCACAAGGCATTAAAATGAAGACTTAAATACAAATATTGTTGCAATAAAACAGTTATAAAATTGAAAAATAGGACCTAAACATCATGCTTATCTAAGTTTGACAAATTAACTTTTTCTCCTAGATTACACACTTTTATTACTGCTCTCATGAGAGTGTGATAAATAATGACTTAACATCAAGTTCTAATGTAATCAACAACACATACACAAACCTAACCAAAGAAAGTATATCTTAAGAAAAAACTATTCTAACACTGGAGTTCTACCATGATAAATACATAGTTTTGCACTGATAATTACAATAAAGAAAAGTATTATAACAGTGGCAAAGGGAATGAACAGTGAAATGTCATTAAACAAGACTCTACTGCACATCTGTGCCCTATTACTTATAACAGCTATATCCCACTGAGTCAAATAAAGGACACTGAAATTTACGATTCTTACAAGAGAAAAGTGGATTCAGAATGGTATGCAGAAAAGCCTGTCAAGATATTTCTAATTTCAGTGGTGAAATGTGCACCTGCTAACACAAATTAATATATTTTATATGCTATAAAGCTATCCAGACTCAGTTTGTTAAATTTATAATAGGCCTCATTGTTGATTAAAAAATAACTTCCATTTCTGAAGAGCATACATAGGTATGCATTAAAACTGGTTCATGGAATAATGGTGCAGAGAGCTCATACTTGGTATTATCAACAGAAAGTGTCACTCTGAGAAAACATGATTCAAACATTAAGAAAGTTTCTTTGCATAAAAAAAAATTATAGCACTGATTGTGTGGCATGATAAAATATATATTTGATGTTTCAGCTCCTATATAATAAAATTAAAATTAACACTACCAAATGCTCCTCTGTACCAAACGAAACAAACTGATTCTGATGTTTTAAAGCCAGATAGATACATCAGCTGTTTAAGAGTACATTAAATAAAATATACAAAACAATTTACAAAATCCAACTAAAATTTAAAGACTTTGTTACAAGTCTACAAAAGCTTTAAGAAATTTGAAATTTATAACCACAGTGTAAAATTTTTCCTTTAATCTCAAAGCTTTTTTATACAAACTGAAAGCACAAAAGACCTTCAGTTTTATATAACGCTACAAAGGGCTGGCCTAAAGTGTACATAGTGTAAACAGTGATCATTACAGTATTTCTCCTTCATCAAAAATACAAGAAATATCACAATTTTGGAAGATAATTCGCATGAGTAGTACTTTTCCTGAAATAATAGGGAATGCACAAGAAAACATGTACCTATATTCAAACAGTCCCTAAACTGATGATGTTAATAAACCAAGCAATTAAAAACTTTAGTTTTCAAATGGTCAATTCCAATTACATTATGATTCTGTGTAAATACATTTTTAAAATAGCAAATATCTTACTAATATTTAAGCTATTGATATAATCCAAATATTTTTCATATGAAACTTTTGGCCATCTTTCCTATAAAACCTTTGCATAAACAACAAAATACATTTTTTTTTTAGTCACATAACTAAAAATGGTTCCAATTTTTAAAAAATAATTTTTGCTTCATAATATCACACCTGTTACATATTTGTTAGGCTGCCTTTTTAGGGACAATTCAGTTACTAACATAACATAAAAACATTACTGTGTTATAAATTCTTAATCAGCCTTCTAACACAGTAGTATATATAAAATAGGCTTGGCAAATTTTTAGTAGAGAGGAAAACGGAAATTATAATGTAGTTACAAGATAATTTTCTGCTGGACTTAAAAATTTTTTTAATAACTCTTTCTTTGGCTAACAAGTCAAAGCATAAAGAATTTTGCACACTGTCAACATAACTCATATTTACAGAATATGAAACTACAGAATGACTGATACTCTATGCAAATATTTCCTATATAAACATTTAAAATGAATTTTGTGGTACAACCCAGGGTTAGGAATATAATCAATCCTAACTTCAAAACCTTATATATTGTTGTCTCATTTTTTCTGAAGCAATTATGAATTTTGTTTTAATCATTTGTCACCCCAGTATTTTCCTAAGGTTTTAATCTAAAGTTTAACGTATAGTTTAGCTCTAAGTTCCTCTTGTATCTCCAAATGGAGAAAGTAGTTAAACTTCACTGATTGTCTGCATACACACTACTATAATGTAGTGGTAATAAAAGACCTGAGATGCATCTCAGATTACTTTTTTTGGAACTTTCCTAATTCAACTGTTGAAGAATTTCTAACATTTAGAAAAGACGGCCAAAACTATTTTCAGTTGATTTTCAAAAATCAAACTATATAAGAAAATAAAGTGTTGTCCCTACCGTCAGTTAACTATTTTGTTTTCTGTGCTATAGGGGAAAAAAAAAATCCATATAAATTATTAGTGACTGGAGAGTATTTCAAAGAAAACAAATCCAATTAAGGTCCAGCCTGCAAACTATTAAGGTCTGTCTTTCTAAACATGTTAACACATGATGTTAAAAGAGGGGAAGATTCAGTTTAAACAGTTTGTGACACATTTCCAAATAACTACAACTTATAGTGCGGAGGAAATACTTAGCTGTTTCCAGAACATCCATTTGATTTTTTGTATTTTTAAAATTCAACACTTCACATGTTGACCCCAAAGCTTGGAATATTTAAGGAAGCCAAGAATGAAAACATGATTTCCTACTCTGTAGTCCACTTGACCAGCCCATTTCCAGATTTCCAAAGGTGTGTAAACTTAAGTGCAGCACTAGCGGTCTCTGTTATAAATAGCTTTTCAGAATTCTTCCATGTTGGCTGAAACATTGGGAGTTGCTGGGTTTGAATCTTGAGAAATGGCTGCAACTGTGACAATTCTTGGGGAGCCAAGCACCTCTGTAACAGATGAGTCCAGTTCTCCCGAGGTAACAATGGCAAGAGCTGTCCCACCACCTTTCTTATTCTGATGCGTTTTGACATGTTTGGAGAGGTGATCACTCCGCATAAACCTTTTAGAACATTCTGGGCATTCAAATCTCTTTTCACCTAAACAGAAAAATAGCAAATAAATAGTAATTCATTTTATTCAAATAAAATTATGTTAAATAATTTCTCTTCTGATCACACTACACTTGTGTTTAACATTTGATGTTGTAAAATACTTCGTTTTTATTTTAAAATACGATCAAACAAGCAATGCAACACAATACAGGAGAAACAGCATGTGACTGGGAATAAAAGACACAAGATAAAGTCCTAGTTTTGCTAAGAACTGGAAGACAAAGCTGAAGCAAATAAAATAACTCTTCTGGGCTTCAGTTGCTCCATTTATCGAAGAAGAGGGTTTCTAAAAGATGCTCTCAAAAATCTCCTCCAGGTATTATAATATATAATGTTCAAGGCATGTCTACTCTTCCTTAAAAACTACTGTCTTGCTGAAACCAGTTTGGCTCAGTGGATAGAGCGTCTGCCTGCGGACTGAAGGGTCCCGGGTTCAATTCCGGTCAAGGGCATGTACCTTGGTTGCGGGCACATCCCCAATAGGCAGCTGATGGATGATTCTCTCTCATCGATGTTCCTAACTCTCTATCCCTCTCTCTTCCTCTCTGTAAAAAATTAATAAAATATATTAAAAAACAAACAAACAAACAAACAAACAAAAACACTACTGTCTGGGTTTTGGTTATAATGCCAAAAAGCATGAAAATACCTTAGAACTATTTCAAATAAAATCACTTAATAATTTAATAGTTTCCTCAGAAGGCAAAGATGAGTTAGGCAAATGCTCAATTTAAACTAAGAGTTTTTAGGTTTCCAAAGAATCAGACTGTCTGATTCTGGTACACAAAGTGATCCTTAAATAAGCTCTCTTTAACATATAAGACAGTTTTACCGGAACTATCCACATCTATATTCTGGAATAAAAACTTGTCCTGGCCAGTGTGCTCAGTGGTTAGAGCCTCAGGCCACAGGTTTGATTCCCAGTCAAGGATACCTACCTGGGTTACAGGTTTAATCCCAAACCCCAGTCAGGGCACATGAGGGAGGCAACCAATCAATGTGTCTCTCTCACATCAATGTTTCTTTCTCCTTCCACTCTTATGTAAAATCAATGGAAAAATATCCTCAGGTGAGGATTAACAGAACCCGTCTCTTCTACACTTAAGAAACACAACTAAATGTTACCAAAAGGAAAAAACCTATTTCAATTTTGTATATAACAGATGAAGCACATAAAAAATTAAGTGATATATTGTACTCTTCATGATGGATCAACTACTATCTTCTGTCCTTCCTTCTAAAATTGTTACTTAAGGCCCTAGCTTGTTTCGCTCAGAGGACAGAGCATCGGCCTGCTGACTGAAGGGTCCTGGGGTTCGATTTCCGTCAAGGGCACATGCCTGGGTTGCAGGCTTGATCCCCAGTAGGGGGCGTGCAGAAAGCAGTCAATCAATGATTCTCTTTCATAATTGATGTTTCTATCTTGCCCTCTCTCTTCCTCTCTTTGAAATACAGAGGTTAACAGGGGAAGATTATTCTCAAATACCTAAGTGGGCCCATTCTAATCACATGGCTCTTAAAAAACCAAGAGACCTTTCTTTAGCTGGAGTCAGAGAGATGTAACAGGAGAAATTAGACAGATTAGGAGCTGAGAAGGATTGGATCTGCTGTTGGTAAGAGGGGTGAAGAGGGGGGGGCGAAGGGAGAGGGCATATGAAAAGTATAAGAAGGGACCTAAACGGTTGGCTCAGTGAATAGAGTGTCCGCCTGCGAAATGAAGGGTCCTGGTATGTGCGCACTACTTGGTAGTGGGCACATACTAGTAGGGAGTGTGCAGGAGGCAGCTGATCGATGTTTCTCTCTCATCGATGTTTCTAACTAATCTATCCCTCTCTGTAAAAAAAAAATCATTAAAAAATTATATATATATATGTGTGTGTGTGTGTGTGTGTGTATATATATATATATATATATATATATATATATATATAAAGAAAAAGAAAACTATAAGAAGGAATGTTAGCAGCCTCCAGAGCAAACCCACCAGCCCCCCACTGACAGCCAGCAAGGAAACAGGGACCCCCATCCTACAATATCAAAAGCTGAATATGCCTGACAGTGTGAATGATTTTGGAAACAAATTCTTCCCCTGAGCTTTCTTTAAGGAACACATCCCAGCTGACATCTTGATTTTGATGACTTTGTGAGATGCTAACTAAGCAGACACAGGCAGAAATTCTCGAACTTCAGACATAAAGAAGCTGATACAATAAATGTGTGTAGTTTTAGGCTATTAAATTTGCAATATTTTGTTATGGCAACAACAGAAAACTGAGTTACGTATATAAAATATAAGTAGTAAGTTATATAAAATATAACTTTAAAAAATTAAATTTTAGCTGACATTTAGTTCAAGATCTGTGAAATATCCTCATTACAAAAACATAAAGCATGTCAGGGATAAATTCAAAATTTTGTTTCTCTAAGACAGTGGTTTGCAATTGATATTGCATGGCACACTATTTAGTCAGGGGCACTGATCTCTTTTTCTTTAGTTGTTTTTTGTTTTGTTTGTTTGTTTTAAAGACAACAGTCAACACAGTAGCCATCCAGCATGAAAAAATCCAAATTATACCTTTTTTTTGTCAGATTGGCAGAAAATATAGTTTTGGTGTGCTGTGAGATGAAAAGGGTTGAAAAAATGCTTCTCTAAGAAAAAAATCTCAAAAACATAATCCTAACAATTTTGGTTTAATAACTTACTTAAAAAAAAATTTGTTTCTTTGCCTATATTAATAAGAGAATGCCATGCTGTATTACATGATCACTAAAATATAGTAGTCTTTTAAGATAATTTAAGTAGAAAATTCATATTTAGAAACATTAGATGACTTTTTAACATGATATTCTTAACAGTAATTTTTCTCAGAAAACATATGCTTAGTTTTCCAAAGGAATTGTAGATTTGAGGGATGAATGAAATAAATCAGATCTTTTAAGCCTTATTCACTGGAAGCTAACCATTAAGAGCCAATTATAGCTGTCACAGTTCTGCCTATAATCTGGTTTTTAAAATGTTACCCTCAAACCTAAGCTAATACAATGTATAAAACATTTTATGAATTATTAATGTCATTTCTAAATTTGTCCTTTAATAACATACTTCCATATTTATATATTAAAATTAATTTCAGGGGCAAATTAGGGAACTATATTAGTTTCCTGGGGTTTCTGTAAGAAAATGCCACAAACTGGGTGGCTTAAAACAATATAGATGTGTATTCTCTCACAGTTCTCTCTTTTGGAGGTAGATGTCCAAAGTAGAGTATCAGTAGGACAGTGTTCCCACCAGAGGCTCTAGAGAAGCACCCTTTGCTTGCCTCATCCTAACCTTCCGGTAACGTCTGGCAATCCTTGGCACTCACTGGTTTGAAGCTTCATCTCTCCATTCAGTGACTTGAAGCTACATCTTTCCAATCTGCCTGGCTTTACACAGCCTTTCCCTGTACCTCTGTGTCTTCTCCCCTTTTTTTATGGTCATCAGTCATTGGCTTGAAGGACCATTAGGTCCTAAAATCCAGCCATAGTATCACTTCATCTTTCCAAATAAAGCTACATTCAGATACCAGGGTTAGGACTTTTACAGAAATCATTTTTTTTAATTTGTTCTAAGAAACCATTATGCAAACTAAGAGACTTGAAGTCCCTGGATTCCTCTAACCCTCCCCTCCAATATCCTCAACCACCAGTCCCTACTGAATATTCTTACTTACCCAGCCCAGAATATCTAAAATAATCTTCTCATGAGTACACTCTATTCTATTATTATCTGTGGATAAAAGTAAATTAAAAGGGGAAGGATGATCATTTGAGTGGCTTAAGTTTTCTTGAAGTAAGTGACTAAGAGTAAGGTGAGACTGAGTGGAAGTTACAAAGGAAATAAGACTTAAGAAGTTTTAGGTTAATTACTAAAGCTGACAAAAAAGAAAAAGATTAACAGACTGAGACTTATAACTCTACAGCAGTGGTTCTTAACCCGTTAGCAGGGTCACCTAAGACCATGTGAAAACACAGACATTTACATTACGATTCATTAACAGTAACAAAATTACAGTATGAAGTAGCAACGGAAATAATTTTATGGTTGGGGTTCACCACAAAATGAGGAACTGTATTAAAGGGTCGTGACATTAGAAAGGTTGAGAACCACTGGCATAAGAAGAAAGTGAACGCTAAGGCAGAGTTGTCAATTGTCTGGTTGAGTGCTGAATGATGCCCCAACATTCACAGAGCCCCACAACAACGAAAGTATTTATTGGTCTCAGGTATTTAAAAAAAGAGTAGAACAACAATATTAACTGGTGAATATAATAGAATCAGAGGTATGGAAGGGGAATGGACTGGCAATTCTCGGGGAAAAGGGGAGTGGGGGGTGCGGGAAGAGACTGAACAAAAATTGTGCACCTATGGATGAGGACAATGGGTGGTGGGGAAAGGGCAGAGGGTGGGGTGGGAACCTGGTGGAGGGAAGCAATGGAGGGGGAAAAAAAAGAGGAACATATGTAATAATCTGAACAATAAAGATTTATTTAAAAAATAAATAAATTGTTTGAAATAATTAATCATTAAAATTTCAAAAAGAAAAATGAGAAAAGTAAAAAAAAGTATTTGAAGAAATGATAGTTAAAAACTTATGAAATTTGATGAAAAACACTAACCTATACATCCAAGAAGTTCAATCAACTCCAAGTAGATTAAATGCAAAGAGATTCACAGTGAGACACATAATAATAAAAACATTTAAAGTAAAACACAAAGAAAATCTAGAGAGACCCTCTAGAGAAGTGACATCACCTACAAGGGATTATAGTTAAGAATAACTGCTGATTTTTCATCATAGATCATGGAAGCCAGAAACCAGTGGGATAATATATTCAAAGAGATTGAAGAAAAAACCTATCAACTAAGAATTCTATATACAGTAAAAACTATCTTTCAAAAATAAGAAATTAAGATATTCCCAGTTTAATAAAAACAAAAATATTTCCCTCAGCAGAGTGCATCTATAAGAAATACCAAAAAGAGTCCTTCAGGCTAAAACAAAAAGGTGATGGTAACTTAAATCCATATGAAGAAATAAAGAACACCAAGTAAGGTAGTCTATAGTTAAACATGAAAGTCGGTATAAATGAGTTTCTGATTTATAACTCATTTGGTCTCCTATCTGGTTTAAAACACAACTGTACGAAACAATCATTATAAATCTGTGTTGATGGGTACACAATGTACAAAGATCTAACTGGTGAAAATAACAGTAGATGGAAAGGCAGAGATATATAAGAAAAAAATTTGTGTATACTATTGAAATAAAATTGGTATTAATCCAAATTAGATTATTATAAAGTGTAAATTATAATCCCCAAGTAAGGCAACCACTAAGAAAATATCTAAAGTGGAACTATTATTCTGGATAATTGAGTCAATTTTTTGAATAGTAAGAAAACAAAAACTAATAAAAAAAAAATCACCAATCACCAATAATCTTAAGCCACAAAAAACTGAATTCATATTGCTAAAATAAAATATAAGCAAATGAAATAAATTCCAGATCATGTAATTATGCTGATGAAGTTGACAAAAGGTAGAATAAAATATGAGTTAAAAAATTTTGAACATCTTCCATATAACTGTTGAATTCTATTTAATGTCCATTATTTCCAATATCATAGCTTATTATCATTAAATTTTTTTTGTAAGCACTGAAAAAATAAGTAGAAAATACAAGTCCAAAAAGAAACCAACTAACCTGTATGGGTTCTTCTGTGTCTCTGAAGCTCATCACTCCTTGTGAATCTTTTACCACAAAACATCCAGTTGCACACAAAAGGCCTTTCTCCAGTATGCCAGCGAAGATGTGCTCGTAAGTGAGATGTTTTGCCATAAACTTTTCCACATCCTTCAATATGACAGATGTGCTGTTTCTTTTTCCCCGGTTCACTGCCTCTAACAAAAACAAAAAACAAACATAATTACACTCCCAACACAAAGCTTAGAATTATGGAAAAGTAAAAGGGAATCAAAGTAATTAAATGATGCTTTTCTGTTCTAGCCTGTTTGGCTCAGCGGACAGAGCATCAGCTTGTGGATTGAAGGGTCCCCGGTTCAATTCTGATCAAGGGCATGTAACTCAGTTGCAAGCTCGATCCCCAGGGAACTTCCTCCTTCTTCCACCCAATCCCAAATCCTGAGATTGCCTTGGATAGGACAAGATGAAAACATTGGGGTTTAGATCACCCTTGACCCAACTCACCTGTAGTTCATAAATCAGAGGTCCCAAGCCATGAGAGGCAAACCAAGAAAACCTGATGCTACTGATGACCCCTGCCAACAAGCACTCAGCTCCTAGAGCAAGGATGCCCCTGAGAGAAAGGTGCCACTCACTGTCTCAACCCCACTACGACAAAGATTTTGGCCAGAGAGAAAGCATACCATAAAAAAAAGCTCTAAATGCCCCCACCCCTGCTCCAAATTGACTTCATTTGTAGCAGAGTGTTGAGAAGTTGAGTCTCCAGGAGTTCTTAAAAGCAATGGATATTATTGCAAAAGGCAACTGGGAACAGACTAATAGATTCATTGGAGAACTAGGATAAACTGTAGGCTGGCTTAGGTTGTTAGACAGAAGCCAGAAAAAAAGACAGCTGGGAGAAGCCCTCCAGAGTCAGAATAAATCTCAAACACAGACCTAGTGAGTGACCAAGCACTTAAAGGAATTTGATTGGATCAGACTGCGGAGAAATATATGCTCCAGGGCATTGTTGAATACAACAGAGCAATCAACAGACTGTTAGTTGAACTTAATAGCTGGGTGTGGTCAGGGAAAACACAATCAAAAGATCCCTGCCAAAACTACTGTCATCCCAGAGTCACCATCAGAATACAGTACTCAAGTCTGCATCCACTGAGGAGGGTTCTAAAACAGCAGCTGCCAACTAATGAGGTCCAAAAAGTTGGCAACTGCTCTAAAAGGATCCAGCCAGTCCCTAAATAAATAGGCAAACAACAAAAACAAGTTGGGAGGAGGCGGAGGGCAGGGATAGTAAGAATTGCTACAATATATTACCTAACCCGTGGTCGGCAAACTGCGGCTCTCGAGCCACATGCAGGTCTTTGGCCCCTTGAGTGTGGCTCTTCCACAAAATAACCACAGCCTGGGCGAGTCTATTTTTGTGGTGTTAGAAGAAGTTTTAAGTTTAAAAAATTTGGCTCTCAAAAGAAATTTCGATTGTTGTACTGTTGATATTTGGCTCTGTTGACTAAGGAGTTTGCCAATCACTAAACTATCTAGTTTCCAACAAAAAATTATGAGATATTCCAAAAATAAAAAACACAAAATAAGAAAGTGTGACCCATATACCAGAAACAAACAAAAAAAAGGGGGGGCGGGGGAAAGAAACTTCCTGTGAAAAGCAATCAAGATTTAATGAAACTTCAAAGTAGCAATTATAAATATGTTGAAAGAACTAAAGGACACCATGATTAAAGATGAAGCATAATGACAATGTCACATCAAATAGAGAACACTGATAAACATAAATGGTTCAAGAAAAATCTATTAGAAATTCTAGAGATGAAAATTACAACTGAAATGAAAAATTCGCTAGAGGTACTTAAAAGAAGGAAGAAAATTGAGAAGTAGAACACAGATCAATAGAAATTATGCAATCCAAAAACAGATAAGAAAAAGAACAAAGAAAAATTAATAATGTCACAGAAATGTGGGATACCAACACACAGTAGAGGTTGGCAGACCAGGGAGTGGACAGGGAGGACAAAGGGGTAAGGGTGGGGAGAGGAGAGAGTAGAAAAAATATTCTAAGAAATAATGCCTGAAAAGTTATTGAAAAACATTCATCTACCATGTTTCCCGAAAATAAGACTTCCTCTGAAAATAAGACCTAGTGCAATTTGGGGAGAAAAAATTAATATAAGACACTATCTTATTTTCGGGAAAACAGGGTACATATGCAGGAAGCTCAACAAACTCCAAATACAATAAATGCAGATATCCATAAATAGATATTTATACCAAAATCTTGAAACCCAACCATAAGAACAAAAATCTTGAAAATAGCAACAGAAAAATGACTAATCATTTACAAAGGGGACCCCATTGAGATTAAAAGCTGATTTCTCAACAGAAACAAGTTTAGATAGCAGTAGGAAAATATATTCAGAGTGCTCAAAGAAAACTCAGACAAGAATCTTATATCCAGCAAAGCTATCTTTCAAAAACCAAGGTGAAATAAAGACATTCCCAGATAAACAAAAACTGACAGAATTTGCAAGCTAGCAGAAGACCTGTTGTGCAAAAAATATTAAAGAAAGTTGTTCAAGCTGAAAACAAATGAACCCAAAAAGTAATTCTAATGCACACAAAGAAAAGAGCACCAGCAATGTAATCATGTAATTATAGAGGACAATATATAATAACTGTGTATTTCTTCTTACCCAATTTAAAAAGCAATTTTATAAATATGTATAAAATGTATTATCAAACCTACATTACAGAAATGCAATATCTGTAATATATCTGGGGGAAAAAAAACACAAAGAAGAAAAGAAAGAAAAAGAAAAAACAAAAGAAAGCACAAAGGATGTGGATGATAGCAAAACTGTACTGTGCTAAGGAAATGACCCCAGATGGAAATTCAAGTTCACAGAAACAAATACAGCGAATTAGAAGTGATACAATTAACACAGCAAAAGCTCTACATACTTGCTTGCCTTTTCTCCACTTCTTTAAGTAAAGTTATATAAAGTAATAATTATAACAATGTATTGTTGTGTTTGTAGCATTTATACTATGTGTATACTATAATACCACAAAAAGAAGCAAAAGAATAGACTTATATAGGGGTAACTTTTGTATAACTCACTGGAATTAAATTACTATAAATGTTAAGCTGATTATGATATTTATGGAAAAGCCTAGAACAGCCATTAAAAAAGTAACTTAAAGTAATATAATGAAAAAAATCATTAATGAAATTAAAGTACAAAATTACAAGTTAAAATGCTGTATTATATTCACCTAATGCAAAAGAAGTAGAGGAATAGAGAAACAAAACAAGGCAAGATATATGGAAAACAAAAAGTAAAATGGCAGTCAGTTCAACTATGTCAGTAACATCAAACATCAAATGTGAATGTATTATATAATCCAATCAAAAGGCAGATATTTGTCAGATTGGATTTTTTTAAAAAAGGAACCAACTATATGCTTGCTGTCTACAGGTGACACATTTTACATTCAAAGATACAGAGATCGAAAGCAGAATGATGGAAATAGATTTGCCAACAAAAACCCAAGAAAGCTGGAGTGACAATACTAACGTCAGACAATATAAACTTTAAAATAAAAGAGAAAGATTTGTTAAAGATAAATGGGTCAATCTATCAAGAAGATATAACAATTATAAACATACATGCACTTAAACCGAGAGTAGCAACAGTGTATTAAAAGAGATGACGTAAAAACTAACAGAAATTGAGAGATAAACAACTCAACAATGGTTGGAGATTTCAAGCTCTATTTTCAATGATATGTTCAAAAAATGAGAGCAATTATATGCATATTGCTTAAATAACAGATGAGGGGGACAAATTCCTAGAAAGACACAAATACCAAAACTGATTCAAGTAATCAATAAGAACACACACACATACCAAATAAAAAGACTGAATTAGAAATAAAAAAAAAGTACCCATAAAAAAGCCCAGGACCAGACAGCTTTACTAGTGAATTTCACAATACACTTAGAGAATTACCACCAATTCTTCAATAAACTCCTTCAAAAATTAAACTGGAGATGAAGGAAGACTTAGCAACTCATTCTATGAAAACAAAAACGTTCATTATAAGAAAGAAAACTACAGACCTACAGACGAATAACTCTCATGAATATAAATGCAAAAATCTTCAACAGAACACTAGCAAACCAAATCCAGTAACATATAATAAAAATAATTATAAAACATGTTGGATTTAATCCTATAAATGTACAAGTACTTTAACATCCAAAATCAACCACTATAACATATCATATTGATAGAATAAAACACAAAAACTACATGACAACTCAACAGATACAGAAAAGCAATAGACAAAATACACCACCCTTTCAAGATTAAAAAAACACACCACTCAATATAGTAGGAATAAAGTATGCTTTCTTAACACATATGAAAAATTCAGAGCTAATATTATATTTAATGGGAAAAGACTGATGCTTTCCCCCTCAGAACAAAACAATGATGTTCACTTTCTCCATTTCTATTCAACACTGTACTATAGGTTCTAGAAAGGACAATTAGGTAAGGAAAAGAAACAAAAGTCATCAAGAATGGAAAAGAACAAAATCAAACTATCTCCAATGCAGATGACATGATCTTACATATAGAAAACTGAGGAATCCACTAAAAATATTACTAAAACTAATGAAAGAGTTTAGCCAGGTTATAAGACTCAAAATCAATATACAAAACAATTGTATTTCTATACATCTGCAATGAACAATCAAGAAAACAGCTCCATTTACATAAGCATCAAAAAGAATAAAATAGGAATAAATTTAACAAAAGTACAAAACTTATACTCTGAAAACTATAAACCAATTTTGAAAGAAATTAGAGAAAATCTAAATAGAAAACCACATACCACTTGGATCAGAAGACTTAATACTATTAGTTGGCAATATTCCCCAAATTGATCTAAAGATACAATGCCACCACCATTAGAATCTCATCTTCCTTCTTTATATAAACTGACAAGCTGATTCTAAAAATTTACATATTCCAAGGGTCTCTACACAGCCAAACAATACTGAAGATAAGTAAGGAAGTCAGAAGACTCAAACTTCTGAATCTCAAGTTACTACAAAGCCAAAATAATTAACACAGGGTGATATTAACATAGAGACAGGCATATAGATCAAGGAACAGAACTGAGAGTCCAGAAATAAACCTCTATGTCTAGGGTCAATTGCTTTTTGACAAAGATGCTATGACCACTCAGTACATGAGGAAAGCATAGTCTTTTCAACAAATGGTGCTGAGTAAACCCTTACCTCACACCATAATAAAAATTTAACCTCAAAATGACCAAAGATCCAAATGCAAGAGCAAAAGCTATAACACTCTCACAAGAAAACTAGAAATTTTTGTGACCTCAGATTTGATAATGAATTCTTAGATACAACACCAAAAGCAGAAGCAACCAAAGAAAAGACTGAACTTCATTAAAATAAAAACTTTTGTGCTTCAAAGGACAATATCAAGGAAGTGAAAGGACAACTCACAGACTGGGAGAAAATGTTTACAATCAAATATATCAATCAAATGTTTACAATCAAATATATCAATCATATATTTGATAAAGGATTTGTATCTAGAATGTATAAAGAACCATTACAATTCAATAAGAAAAAGAAATAAAATGAACAAAAGATAATAGATATTTCTCCAAATATACACCAATTGCCTCCAAGCACATGAAAACATACTCCATGTCATTAGTCATCAGGGAAATACAAATCAAAACCACACTGAAATACCATGCCATACCTACTATAATAAAAAAGTCATATTATAACAACTGTTGGCAATAATGTAGAGAAATCAAAATCCTCGTACAGTGCTGGTGGGAACATAAAATGATTTGGCCACGTTGGAAAACATTCTGACAGTTCTTCAAATGTTTAGACTAGAGTCACCCCAAGAACCAATAATTCCATTCCTAGGCATATACCTAAGAGAAATGAAAACATACATTTACACAAAAAGTTATATAATAATGTTTACAGGAAAAAAAAAAAGATAAAGAAAAGAATGTTTATAGCAGTAGAATAGCCAAAAGTTGGAAAATGCCACATGTCCATCAACTGATGAATGGATGAGTAAAATATTGCATATATAGTACAGACAATGAAATATTATTTGTTCATTAAAAAGATTAAAGTGCTAATGCATGCTATAATACAAAAAAATAACTTTGAAAACATTAGGCTAAGTGAATAAAACCAGTCACAAAGACCATATATTATGTGACACATTATACGAATGTTCAGAACAGGCAAATCTATAAAGCTATAGTGGTTGCCTAGAGCTGGGAAGGGTGGGAATGAGAGGGATAGTGGCTAAAGAATATAGGGTTTCTTTTGGGGGTGACAAAATGTTCTAAAATTAATTGTGGTGATGGATGTACCACATTCATCGTGAGAATATTAAAAAACTATTGAAATGTATGCTTTAAATGACTGAATTATATGATACGTAAGTTTTATGTCAATAAAGTATTTAAAGTTTTTACATGATAAATGAAAAAATTAAACAATTTTAAAAATGTGTAAGGTACAAGATGCAGAACTATTCCTAGAACAGCTCAATTTAATTCCTTCATAACAACACTGTGTATTAACTCTGGACTATGAAGCTAGTGCTGTTCTAATGATCAAAGTACCCAACCAATGGCATGGCTTTAGCTATTTTATGCCCTGCCAGAGAGGCAGAGTTGGTAATATAGCATTTACCTTCCTTCTCCTTCCCTACAATTTGGACAGGAACAGGCAACTCTTCGAAGCCTCTTGCCAGGCTGTACCTCTTGATCAGAAGCTTGCTGGCCTTGCTGCAAATGCACTTGTGTGAGTTGGTCAGGACTAACAGCACCTATTGTTGCATTAGCAATTCCTCCAACTGCTACAGTTACAGGAGCTATTGTAGCTTGTTGGACTTTTACGCCATCTTGTCCTTGCTGCTGACCTAAAAATGGGGAGAAAAAAAAAAAAAAAAAAGCATTATGTTTTCTATTCGAGAAAGAAAAACAATAATTTCAATATAAACATTATAAAACTATCATATTTTCCCTAATAGGTATGTAAAGTATAAACAGCAAAGGAGTTAATGATTTATACTATGCCAATGCTCCTAAAATAGAATATTTTTACTTTAGGCTGCCTCCATAGCCTTTTAGTGGGACTATATACATAAATCATCTAACCCTCTTGTGGCTTAATTTCTCCATCTGTAAAATGAAGATAATAATACTTGCCACCTACCTACCTCACTGAAGTGCTGTGAGGATTCATGAGACATTATTTGAAAAACACTTTGAGATCCTCAGATGCAAGATGCTATATAAATACAAAGCATTATTATTACCATTTCCATAGTAAGCAACATCTCATTCACTCCAATGAATGAAAAGTAACTAAAAAGGATCAAGTTTATAGACATTTTCTCATTCCTAAATACCTCAAATTAAGCAAATGTCTCTTTATTGAAGTATTTTTAAATTATGCACATTGAGCTAAATATTTTTTAATGCAATAGCACATTTATTACATACTGTTATTATAATCATAACACAGACTTTTAGGACATTGACTTTGTTCACTCATTTTCTATAGCTTAGACTTCACCTCTCAGGGTAGCACATATACCAACTTGGCTTCTTCAGTTAGAGAAAAACATAAATAATACATACTTGGAAAACATAGCTATTTACATGGCTTAAATTGATCCTTATGTGTACATGAGTATGCTTTATAATTTTCCTTTCTTTCAACACACTCTACTTTGTCCCCATCAGGTGTGGGGATATAAATGGAAGTACTATATAAATGAAAGAAAACATCTATTTATAAAGGAATGCTTCCACCTCAGAGAGTTGATGAGGATTAAAAAGTTAATTTTTACAAATCCCTTATCACAGTGCCCAGCACAGAATTGTTCATTACATGTTAGCTACTGTTACTACTGAATAAAATATGGAAGCAGAAATAAACATGTGAGTACTGAATATAAAATAAAAGGGATTATTTTAAAATGACATATGTAGTACTTTAACCATGTCTTGGATTGGGACTATTGGCTATCTGTGTATGGGTTGGGGTGAGACAAAGACATTTAGATAATCCTGTATCACACACAAAAGTAAAATGCAAACAGATTTATATTAAAAATAAAAGACGCCAAACCCAAAAATCCTAAGTGTAAAAAAACTAAAAACAGAACAAAAAATATTAGAAGAAAATACAGAAGAACATACAATCTTTTAAACAAAATCCCAAAACAAAAACCAAAAGGAAATACTTATAAACTTGACCATTATCAGAATTTTACATTTCTTAAAAGTATTCAATTCCACCTATCAATTTTTAGATCATAATCTGTGAAGTAATCTTTATTCCTATCTGTCTCTCACACTCTATTACCTACCTTGTTGACTGTTCCTTCAAAATAGATCTAGGATCCAAGCATTTCTCCACCATTTTCTCTTACTTGATTACTACAATAGTTTCCTAACTGGTCTTCTTGCCACCACTGCTCTCCTTCCTCTATAAGTTTATTCTTTAAAAAACATTTTTTCTATTTATTCATTTGAGAGAGAGAGAGAAATGGAGGAAGGGAAGAAGGAGGGGACTGGAGGAAAGAGGTGAGGGAGGGAGGGAAACTTGACCTGCTGTTCTACTCATTCATGCAGTCACTGGTTGATTCTTCTAAGCGCCCTGACTGGGGATCAAACTCAACCTTGGTATATTGGGATGACACTTTAACCAACTTAGTTAGCTACCTGGCCAGGGCTGTTAAGTTCATTCTTATCACTGTTCCCAGAAGATTTGTTCTAAAATGTAAGAAACATCATGTCAGCTCTCTGCTTAAAACCCAACAAGTTCAAAATGTGATTTTTTTGTGTGTGTTTGTTTGTTTTTACATATAGCCTAAGAAATAAGGCTATCTACTAGAACTGAACAGGAAAAACAAAAACTGTTGATTTCTGTAATAAAAACCTGCCATCAAGGGCTAGAGAGACTTACTTGTTAATCACAATTCTTAACCGAGCCTTTTTAGGTTTATTTCCTCTACAGACTAAATTTAGTCTGTCTAAACAAATATCTAAGGATATCTAAAGATATATACAGGAAAGAATATATGTCCCTACATTGCCAATAAATACAGTATGCAGTAGACTTTGATTTGCTTTATAATCTGACTTAAAACAAACAAGGAAGCTGTATATTCCTAAAAATCCTATATAATAAAAGGCTAATATGCAAATCAACTGGCAGAATGACTGGTCACTATGATCTGCAATAACCACCAGGTGGCAGAAGCTCAATGTAGGAGCTGCCCCCTGGTGGTCAGTGTGCTCCCACAGTGGGAGTGCCACTCAGCCAGAAGAGGGGTTCACAGGTGGCTAGTGCAGTGGTAGTGGTGGGATCCTCTCCCACCTGTGAGGCAGATGGACATCCCCTGAGGAGTCCCAGATTGCAAGAGGGTGAAATTTCGTGCACTGGGCCTCTAGTAAAAAGATAACCAGGTAAATCTATAGCTAGGGAGATGGGGAGAAAAAATGGGAAGAGATGATTAATGTGTCAAAATAAGGCTATGAAAATATCCTAAAATTATATCATAGGGATAGCTGTACAACTCTGTCAATATACTGTAAACTCTAAATGGCTATATTGTATGATATATGAATCATATCTTCATAAAGCTTTTTTTTTTTTTTAAGGTAACTATAAAAAATTGGTTGGTTCTAAATCTCAATTAGTGGTTCTCAATAAGGTAATTTTGTCTTCCAGGGTATAGTTGGCAATGTCTGAAAATATTTTTGATCATCAAATCTTGGGGAACTACTACTGTTATTTAGTAGGCACAGAGTAAGATGCTACACATCTTACAATGCACAGGACAGGCCTCAAAATAAAGACTTATTTGGCCTAAAATGTCAACATTAAAAAGCCCTGCTTAAGCTGAATTTCCAAATAACTAATGATCATGGCTCTCATTTATTCATATTATTATAAATAAATTTAACTAATTTTGAAGTACATGAAAACTTATATGGTACATTTATATACCTATAAAAACTATAAACTACACAACTGTGAATTAACACCTTTACAAACATAGTAACTTATTTCTTTACTATATTCAAAAGATGTAACTATGTTTTTCTACAGAACCATAAATTGAAAATATTAAGAAATAACTGAATGCTCTCTGTACTTTTAAAAAATATATTTTTATTGATTTCAGAGAGGAAAAAAATACATAAATACCAATGGTGAGAATCATTGGCTGGCTGCTTCCTGCATGCCCCCCACTGGGGATCAACCCCGGAAATTGAACCACAAACTCCTGGTTCTTAAATCGTCGCTCAACCACTGAGCAACACCGGCAGGGCTCATTGCACTTCTTAAATGAAGGTCACTATATTAGCCAATGACTTCCAGAACTGTTTACATAGCACGGGTCATGTTAATTTGTAAACCAATATTGAGTTACTGAGTAGACACAACAGAGAGTTTAGCAGACTATAGATTAAACAGAGCTTTGGGGTCAGGCAGATCTGTCTTTGCATTCTAATTCTCTCTGCAGTTTCTTTGAGGACCTGAAAGTGATGGAAATTAGCTGAGATAACAGCACAATATCTGGAATATGACAAATACTCAAGAGGAACGTTAACTCCAATACAAAGAAATTGCATAATTTATTAAATATACATACTTAATACGAATCATTCAGATTTCTACAAGTCTTAGATCTCTAGATGAGAATCTAGTGTACAAGTAAAATGTACTCATTCAACAAACATTTCCTGAGTACCTGCTATGTAAGTTTGCTCAAAATCCATTTCACTGACATAGTTTGAAATGGCTGTAATTTAATTTGGAGATTTTTCTATTCATCTAACTACCTATAATGCTTTTTAAAAAGTAGTGCAGTCATCACAGGGATTAATTTTCCAAAAGTGTTACACCAAGATGTGAGGACATTGGTAAAAAACATCAGCATGTAAAACTGTTTTTGACAAGAACGAACATTAAATAGATTAAAGTAGTCATTGCAAAAATGTTTCCCTAAAGAATTTTATATGAAGAATTGTAAGAGAGTTTAATTTTAAGATGCTCTTCTTGAGAAAATCTAATGAGATTTTTAATATTTAATATAGAATATAAGAAAAGTGAATAGTAAGAATAATTATTATTTATCTAGAACTATCATTTTTAAGACACAATTAGAAGGCAACAATATTCTAATTATTAGAATAAACTCTACAATAGTGGATACAGCTTCCATCCCAAGAAAACTCATAATGGCCACCATCAGGCACCATGTTAGGCTCTTTCACAGACCTCACACATAACCTGCTAACCTACCTTCTCATGCTCTGATCCCATGTTCACCAATTAATTTCGATTATTTGGTTTGTCAAATACTTTGATGCCAGGAATAGAAGACTAAGAGCATTATAGTATGGAAAAATTTATGTCTTACCTTATATTAAAAATAAAATAAAACACCCAAAAAGTATTCAGTCTCTTGTAAATCATGACTTTATTAATCAATTTGTCTACAATTTGAACTTGAAAACCAGTTGCTAAATTTTCAAAGCTAGAAACTAAATCATAGATCTATTTTGATCCTATCAAAGAACACTTTGGAGAAGCCTACTTTAACACAAGAAAACTACCTAACCATGTTAAATACAAATATATATACACACTTCAATAATAAAAATATTCAATTTAAAAACAGGCTGACAACTTTCAAAGTTTATTTAAATGAATAGTTTGCAAATTATGCAAAAACATACAAAACCTGCACTGAATCATTACAATTAAATGTGCCTGTATAAGAACTCTGAAAACAGTGATAGAAACTCCCAAATCAATGTCCCAGATATTGACTGGCAATATCCTAGTGTCATGGGAAAGTTAACAGACCTCCATAATGCTTAGTTTAAAAAATAT